CCTCGCCCGGCTAGTTTTTTGTATTTTTTAGTAGAGACGGGGTTTCACCGTGTTAGCCAGGATGGTCTCGATCTCCTGACCTCGTGATCTGCCTGTCTTTGCCTCCCAAAGTGCTGGGATTACAGGCGTGAGCCACCGCGCCCAGTCGTACCTGGCCTTTTGTATCTTAAAATGGAACCATTTGAGAGTAAGTTGCAGACATCATCACCTTTTACCCTGAAACATCTTAATATGAGTCTCCTAGGGACTGTGACATCCTTCAGCAACCTCACACTATAAATTATTACGCGTGTGAAATTCAGCATTAATAGAGTACCACCCTCTGACATGTCTAAAGTTGGAAACTGTCTTTTCTGTTTTCTTTTTCTTCAGCTTCTTTGTGGCATGCCTTTTATTTTTGTTAATTGGTCGGGGATCTAATCTAGGATCATTATTGGCTTTCAGTTATCATGTCTCTAGAGCTTCCTTTAATCGGAAGCGATCTCCTTGGCCCGGCATGGTTGCTCATGCCTGTAATCCCAGCACTTTATGAGACTGAGGTGGGAGGATCACTTGAGGACAGGAGTTCCAGACCAGTCTGGGCAACATAGCAAGACACTGTCTCTACAAAAAAATTTTAAAAACTCTCCAGACATTGTGGTGCCTGCCTGTAGTCTCAGCTACTTGGGAGGCTGGGGTGGGAGGATTGCTCGAACCTGGGAGGTCGAGGTTGCTGTGAGCCAAGATGGCAACACTGCATTCCAACCTAGGTGACAGACCAAACCTTGTCTCAAAAAGAACCCAACAAAAAATCTATAGAAACTTACTTTAAAAAAGAGGTATAATATACAACAGTAAAGCGTGCTAGTCTTAAGCATAAGCTTGATCAGTTTTTACCTGTGTACCCACTGCCTGTCCCCAGAAGGCCCCTCCCTTTCCCCCAGGGCCACCGCTGTTCTGACTCCAGTGGGGACCACCTCCTCACTCTGCCCTTGGTTCTAAGTTGTGTTTTCTCTTTTCCCCAATCCTTGGGAGTCATATCTTTTTTTTTTTTTTTTTTGAGGTAGAATCTGACTCTGTCACCCAGGCTGGAGTGCAGTGGCAGGATCTTGGCTCATTGCAACCTCCAACCTCCCAGGCTGAAGTGATTCTCCCGCCTCAGCCTCCTGAGTAGCTGGGACTACAGGTGCACGCTACAAAACCCTGCTAATTTTTTGTATGTTTAGTAGAGATCAGGTTTTACCATGTTGGCCAGGCTGGTCTCAAACTCCTGACCTCAGATGATCTGCTTGCCTCAGCCTCCCAAAGTGCTGGGATTACAGGTGTGAGCCACTGCGCCTGGGTGGGGGTCATATCTTATGTGGGACTTTGCTTTCTGTCTGCACAGAGTCATATTTATGCTCCCTCATTTAATGTTTTCTCTTGGGCTTTGAATTCATTCGTAATAGTTTATTTTATAAGTGCTCCTGCACACACTCTGTTGGCAGATAGAGCTTTATTTTTATATCGGATGATTCCCTCCAGATGCGTTTCTAACAGCAGAATTCATGTGTGAAACAACACAAGGTCCGCGTCGTCCTTCTGTCTCAGAGACCAGTGTGCAAGGCCTGAGGGACCCACCTTCCGTCACCCGTTCTGCTTTCTTTACAGGGTGTGTCCGCAGCCGGCCAGGTGGTATCCCTGAAGGTGTGGCTGATTGACGACATTCTAGAAAAGATCAACAGCCACCTTCCCTCTCACATTCGGATCCTGGGTAAGTCTTGCAGTGCTGGCGGCCACACGCCCGGTTGTAGATGGTCTTGCAGAGACACGAGGCTATGCATGCTCTTGCCTTTTCCACCTGTCACTGATGCAGAAGTGTAGTCAGAGTTGCTTTGCAGCTGGTTCTGACCTTCTTCAGAAACGGGAGCAACTAGACAGAAGTAGAAGGCTTCTCATTTGCAGTGCTTGTGGCCACACGGGTGCCTTGTTTTTATCAAACACTGGATGTGAAAATCCAAATTTGTGGTTAAAATGAACAGTTGTTCCCTTTTATGGCAGTACTGATAAATTGAATTTTTAGGCCTTCTTAAAATGCAACTCTCTGCCTTTTAAGTGGCAGGTACAGGTAACTTAACGTACATACATTGATTCCTTCATTGATTCATTTATTCTGTTTGTTTTTTGAGAGAGTCTCACTCTGTCACCCAGGCTGGAGTCCAGTGGTGTGATCATGGCTCACTGCAGCCTCCGCCTCCCAGGTTCAAGTGGTCCTCAGCCTCCTCAGTAACTGGAACTACAAGTGTGTGCCACCACGCTTAATTTTTGAGTTTGTAGAGATGGGGTCTCATTTTGTTGCCCAGGCTGGTCTTGAACTCCTGGGCTCAAGGGATCCTCCTGCCTTGGCCTCCCAGAAGCCACTTATATTGAATGTATTGATAGGTGTGGCTGGGCGTGAATCTATCATCTTGCTCTGTTTTCTTTTCCTTTTTGTTTTGGTGTAATCCCAAGAAAACAGAACTGTTGTCTGCCTGACTGGTCTGCTTGGAGAAAGGTGTTTTTTTGAGACAGGGAGACAGGGTCTTGTTCTATAGCCCAGGCTGGAGTTGCGATCACAGTTCACTGTAGCATTGACCACCTGGGCTCATGCGATCCTCCCGCCTCAGCCTGCAAGCACACGCCACCACAGCCGGCTAAATTTTAATTTTTTTGGTAGAGATGGGGTTTCGCCATGTTGCCCAGGCTGGTCTCAAACTCCTAGGCTCAATCAGTCTACCTGCCTCAGTCTTCCAAAGTGTTGGGATTATAGGCGTGAGCTGCTGTGCCCGGCCCACAGCCTGACTATGTTAAGATTCATCCATGCTGTCGTGTATGTCAGCAGTCTGTTCCTTCTCATGGCTGCGGGGTGTTCCGTTCTGCGGTGTATCACGGATTGTTTATACACAACCTGCTGATGACACTGGGTGATTTCCAGTTTTGGGCTGTTAGAAGTAAAGCCACTGTGAACATTTATGTATGAGTCATAAATAGGATTCAGTAATCCCTGTTGATTTTACCCACTGTTAAGTTTTTATTTTTACTTTTTTGTGATGGAGTCTTGTTCTGTTGCCCAGGCTGGAATGCAGTGGTGTGATCTCGGCTCACTGCAACCTCCACCTGCCTCCTGGGTTCAAGCGATTCTCCCACCTTGGCCTTCCCAGTAGCTGGGATTACAGGTACACACCACCACACCCGGCTAATTTTTGTATTTTTAGTAGAGATGGGGTTTCACCATGTTGGTCAGTCTGGTCTCAAACTCCTGACCTCAGGTAATCCGCCCACCTCGGCCTCCCAAAGTGCTGGGATTACAGGCGTGAGCCACTGCACCCAGCAATAGTTTCATTTTTTATTAATTTTTTTTTTTTTTTTGAGATGGAGTTTCGCTCTTGTTGCCCAGGCTGGAGTACAATGGCGCGATCTTGGCTCACCACAACCTCCACCTCCCAGGTTCAAGTGATTCTCCTGCCTCAGCCTCCCGAGTAGCTGGGATTACAAGCATGTGCCACCACGCCCGGCTAATTTTGTCTTTTTAGTGAATACGGGGTTTCTCCATGTTGGTCAGGCTGGTCTTGAACTCTCGACCTCAGGTGATCCACCTGCCTTGACCTCCTGAAGTGCTGGGATTATCAGCAGCTGGGGATTACAGGCGTGAGCCACCACACCCGACAGTAGTTTTATTTTTGTTATGCTGGGCTTCCTCTGCCTTCTGAGGATAATTTCCTCCTGAGAAACTTCCCATGGAATAAGTCCTCTGAAAGTTGCGTTTGAGTTCTCTTCCCATTCACTTGTATGGAAAATACTTGAGTATTCTGTAGATTAATCCCTGTCATGCTCAACAGTGCCACATCTGTGCAGTTGTTGGGTAGTCGCTGTCACCCACACGCCGCGGTGCAGGCCAGCAGGGCCCTCCCCAGGTCTGCAGTGTGGCCATCTGCCGGCACTTTGCAGCCTTTCTTAGCAGTTATGTCTGGAACAACCAGAATTATGCTTGCAGCGCATCCTTGTGATGTTTAGTGTTTATGAAATGGAATCTTTAAAACCAAAAAAAAACAAAAAAGTCACTCAGAAACAAACATGACTGTGGAGACAAAAGCACGAGGCATGCAGTGCCAGCGCCCATGGGATCCATGTGACTAGCGACCCGGGCCGGGCAGGCTGTGTGGAGGCACCCCACTGCTTGTGAGGTCACAAGGCCCAGGCCAATCCTTGTAAATGGGAAACCATAGTTGGGTGTTAAATCAGACTCCTGGCTGGGTGCGGTATCCAACACCTGTAATCCCAGCATTGTGGGAGGCTGAGGTGGGCGGATCATGAGGTCAGGAGTTCAACATGGTGAAACCCCATCTCTACCAAAAATACAAAAGTTAGCTGGGCGTGGTGGCAGGTGCCTGTAATCCCAGCTACTCGGGAGGCTGAGACAGGAGAATCACTTAAACTCGGGAGGCGGAGGTTGCAGTGAGCCGAGACTGCATCACTGTACTCCAGCTTGGGCAACAGAGTGAGACTCCATCTCAAAAAAAAAAAAAAAAAAAATCAGACTCCTGAGGTGAGGTGGAATCCTAGCAGCCGGAGGGGCCTGCATGTCTCAGCCACAGTGCAAGCTCCTGGAGGAGGTGTGCAGCCCAGCAGAGGCAAGTCCAGGCAGAGCTTTCTCCTCCTAGCCCCTGAAGTTGGTGCCCTCAGTGAGGGTTACTCTTCTAGAATTCTTCCATTTAAACATAGATGTCCTCAACAGATTGGATCCCCCTGCATGCAGCTCTTCATTTGTCTTTAATTTTTGCTTATTCAATATTCAACAAATACTCACTGAACACCTGTGGGGTGCTGCTAGCGCTCAAGGCATCTTGGAGGGGCCGTGCCCTCAGTTCTTGGAGACTTGTCCCTGACCTGCGGGGCTGCATCCTTTTTTATCCTGCGAATATTCTGGCATTTATTAGGTCAGCCTGCAGTTGCTGGAATTCTAAGGTGGTTTCCAGTGTTTTTTGTTGTTGCAAACAGTGCTGCCTGTATGGCCTTGTCTGTAGAATTCACGCGACTTCTGAGCTGGGGTTACACCCTTCCCCTACATCTGGGGTTTTATTCCAGGGTGGGCTGCGCCAGTTCACACTGGATCCTTTGCCAGCACTGGGTTTTAACACACCCTTTGTTTTTGTTGTTTGGATATGTGTTTAATTCCGAGATTAAGTATGCTACAGATTTAGAGTTTAGTGCACAAAAGCCCAATTCCTTTGTTTTAACAATTTTTTTTTTGCTTCTATTATTATTATTATTATTTTTTCTTGATGGAGTCTCGCTCTGTTGCCCAGGCTGGAGTGCAGTGGTATGGTCTCAGCTCACTGCAAGCTCCACCTCCCGGGTTCACACCATTCTCCTGCCTCAGCCTCCTGAGTAGCTGGGACTACAGGCACCTGCCACCACGCCCGGCTAATTTTCTGTATTTTTAGTAGAGATGGAGTTTCACCCTGTTAGCCAGGGTGGTCTTGATCTCCTGACCTCGTGATCCGCCCACCTCAGACTCCCGAAGTGCTGGGATTACAGGCGTGAGCCACCGCTCCTGGTGTATTGTTATTATTTTTTGAGACAGAGTCTCGCTCTGACGCACAGGCTGGAGTGCAGTGGCACGATCTCAGCTCACTGCAACCTCCTCCTCATGGGTGCAAGCAATTCTCCTGCCTCAGCCTCCCGAGTAGCTGGGATTACAGGCGCCCGCCATCATGCCTGGCTAATTTTTGTATTTTTAATAGAGACGGGGTTTTGCCATGTTGCCCAGGCTGGTCTCAAACTCCTGACCTAGTGATCCACCCGCCTTGGCCTCCCAAAGTGCTGGGATTACAGGCATGAGCCACTGCACCGTGCCTAGCTGCTTTTATTATTTTAAATTCATGCATAATAATTATACACACTTATGTACAATAATGTGTGATATTTCCAGTCATGTGTAATGATCAAATAGGGCAATTAGCATAAATAGATCCATCACTCCAAGCATTTATCATTTCTTTGTATTGGAGACGTTTTGTATCTTCTCGCTATTGGAAAATTACAATAAATGGTTGTTGTAAATTCAGTCACTTTATAGAGCACTGCACCTGTCCCTCGTGTCCACTGTCCTCCTGTGCCTGTTCCCCAACCTGTGGCTGTCCCCTCCCCAGGGAAGCCGATGCTTGCTGGAGCTTGGCTGGTGCTCTGGGTGAGGAGACGCTGGGGCTCACGCTGTGCTCAGGCTGCTCCCTGGTCATCCAGGCACTTCTCACCTGCCTCTCTCCTCACTGGTCGCCTCTCTCCTAGGACTGAAGCGGGTCACAGGCGGGTTTAACTCCAAGAACAGATGTGATGCCAGGACCTACTGCTACCTGCTGCCCACGTTTGCCTTTGCGCACAAGGACCGGGACGTGCAGGATGAGACCTACCGCCTGAGCGCCGAGACACTGCAGCAGGTCAACAGGCTCCTGGCCTGCTACAAGGGCACGCACAACTTCCACAATTTCACCTCGCAGAAGGGGCCACAGGAGCCCAGCGCCCGCCGCTACATCCTGGAGATGTACTGCGAGGAACCCTTTGTGCGGGAGGGCCTGGAGTTCGCAGTGATCAGGGTGAAGGGCCAGAGCTTCATGATGCATCAGATCCGGAAGATGGTTGGCCTGGTGGTGGCCATTGTGAAGGGTTATGCCCCTGAGAGTGTGCTGGAACGCAGCTGGGGCACAGAGAAGGTGGACGTGCCCAAGGCGCCGGGACTTGGCCTGGTCCTGGAGCGGGTGCACTTCGAGAAGTACAACCAGCGCTTTGGCAATGATGGGCTGCATGAGCCGCTGGACTGGGTGCAGGAGGAGGGCAAGGTCGCAGCCTTCAAGGAGGAGCACATCTACCCCACCATCATCGGCACTGAGCGAGATGAACGCTCCATGGCCCAGTGGCTGAGCACCCTGCCCGTCCACAACTTCAGTGCCACCGCTCTCACGGCAGCTGGCACAGGCGCCAAGGTAGGGGCACAGTCCCAGCAGTGCTCAGCACAGGCCCACATTGTTCCCAATGTACAGAGGAGGGAGCCGAGGCACAGAGAAGTGTGTCACTTCCCCCAAGGCCACACAGCAGCTGCAGGAGCAGGGCCAGGCGGTCTTGAGGTGTTCCTTGTGTGCCTGCCTGCGCCACCCGCTTGCTCCACCACCAGGTGCTTTTCGACTCTGGGAGGGCCACCCCGGGTCAGGCTTGCTGCCGGCACGCCTACTATGGACCTGGCACGGAGCGTAATCAGCGGCTAGACAGCTGCGGACTGTAGCTTAGAACTGGAACATACGGGATTTTACGTGTAGGAGCTAAAAGCTAAGTGAATGAAATTGTCATTCTCAGTTCTTTGCTCTGGGGTGAGAGATGTCCCAAAACCTGAGTTCTTTCTTTTCTTTTTTTTTTTTTGACACAGAGTCTTGCTCGGTTGCCCAGGCTGGAGCGCAGTGGTGCGATCTTGGCTCACTGCAAGCCCTGTCTCCTGGGTTCACATTCTCCTGCCTCAGCCTCCCTAGTAGCTGGGACTACAGGTGCCCACCAGCACTCCCGGCTAATTTTTTGTATTTTCAGTAGAGATGGGGTTTCACTGTGTTAGTCAGGATGGTCTTGAACTCCTGACCTTGTGATCCACCCACCTCAGCCTCCCAAAGTGCCGGGATTCCAGGTGTGAGCCGCCGTGGTCGGCCAGCCTGAGTTCTTTCGTGGTGGCCCAGTGAGGTTTCAAAGGATGACATTCCCAGGCAGGGCTCAGGGAGATTCTTCGTGTCCCGGTATCTGTGAAAACAGAGTCCTTCCTGCATACCTGGGTGGCAAATTCAGTGTGTGCAGGCCCCAGGGAGGTAGGGTGGGCAGGCGAGGGGCCAGGCACCTGGCGAGCCGTCCTATAGATGGGGCAGTGAGAGGCCCCCAGTCCAGGGACGGCAGGGAGAAGGGGGCCAGCAGTGGCCAGGAGCCCTCGTTTCATCTGAAGGGGATACTCGTGGCTCAGTGGCAGTTGGTGGTGGCCATGTTGGAATGTGACAGTGACCGCATGCTTAAATGTTGTCGAGGGAAACCAGCGTTGCACACTGGTATGGGAAATCTTCCCCTTTTTAAGTGCTGGTAGTTAATTTTTCCCAAGCCCATTGCAGGCTAAATACAGCGCAAGTGCCAATTTGGCCTGGGCCAGTGGATTGCTGTTGACACCACTGATGACAGAGGCACATATACTTCCGAGGCACCTGCATTTATTGAGCTTCCAATGGCTCCATATTATTTTCTGCTGTGGTCAGTGCAGCCTGTGAGAATGTGAAGGAGCCCAACAAAGGCCCCTCTAGTGTCCCCAGCCCTTGCCTTTCCCTGCGCAGGTTCCTGACCTGGTTAAGAGATGACCGAGAACAAATGCCAGCCTCTGCCCCGATGAGGGAATGGTGGGGGCAGGGCTCCTATGCCGAGCCTGTCATGGGCACCTCCGGCCATTCAGGAGCAGTGGGGAGAGTGCTTGCCTCTCATTCTCCATGTGCTCTTCTTCTGCAGGTGCCCAGTCCCCTGGGAGGCAGCGAAGGGGATGGAGACACCGACTGAGGCGGTGGGAGCTGCCCACCAGAGTGCCTCTGAGCAGCTCACAGTGTGTGCCCAGGCGTGCCATCCCTGTGGGCAGCAAGAAGCTGGGATCGCTGCAGCCATGTTTTCCCAGCCATGAGAACCATGGTTTCTCAGGGCTGCCTGGCAGATGTGGCCTGGCGTTGTAACCTCAGGACCTTTCCTTGTAGGAACAGCCTTTCTCGAATCTATTTTCAGCTCTTGCATTGCACAGATGAACCTCAGCATGTAAATAACTATTTTTTTAAAGAAGTGATTTTCTTATTAAACAAGTACAAATTTTGCTTAGTCAGTCCTTCGTTTGCCTTTTTCTTAGTCTTTTTTTACATTTTTTTCATTCAGAGAGATGAGCAGAGCATGTTATCCTGTTGAGAACAGGCCTGAGGCAGGCCCGGGAGGTTGCTCAGCCTGTAATCCCAGCACTTTGGGAGGCTGAGGTAGGCAGATCGCTTGAGTACAGGAGTTCCAGACCAGCCTGGGTAAAATGGTGAAACCACATCTCTGCAAAAAATTAACTGGGCATGGCGGCGTGCCCTGTAGTTCAGCTGCTCAGGAGGCTGAGGTGGGAGGATTGCCTGAGTCTGGGGAAGTCGACGCTGTCCTGATCGCCACTGCACTAACAAAAAACAACAAAAAAACCGGCCAGGCACGGTGGCTCATGCCTGTAATCCCAACACTTCGGGAGGCCGAGGTGGGCGGACCACTTGAGGTTGGGAGTTCGAGACCCGCCTGACCGGCATGGAGAAACCCTGTCTCTACTAAAAATAAAAAATTAGCTGGGCATGGTGATGGGCGCCTGTAATCTCAGCTACTTGGGAGGCTGAGGCAGGAGAATCACTTGAACCCGGGAGGTGGAGATTACAGTGAGCCTAGATCGGCCACTGCACTCCAGCCTGGGTGACAGAGCAAGACTCCATCTGAAAAAAAACGTAGCCTGCGCTCTGTGGGGTAGGGCCCTGAGGCAGGTCTGTGGGGAGCACTGGAGCAGGGGCCGCGCCGACCCGCCGCACCCCTGAGAGGGGTGGTATCCCCGGGCTCCTCTTCCTAGACAGCCCCGTGCATGCAACCTTTGTGCTGGTTGCAGGTCGGGACTCGCCTCAGCACTGCCCCGGTGCCAGGCGGGTGAGGGCTGGGGCAGAGGGCAGAAGGAAGGGCGTGTTGCAGAACAGGCCCCTAGTGGAGCTTTCTGGAAGACCCCACCAGCGGCTTCTTCACGTCATTGGTCACAGGTGTGTCCAGGGGCCGTTCGTAGCTGCAAGGGAGGCTGGGGATGACTGCTTTTGAACTGGCGCTCAGGGCAGAACAAAACACATTGCATTAGCTAGGAGCAGGGGATCCTCGGCGGCGGGCTGCTAGGAGCCCACGGAGGGGCTCAGCGCGGGAAGTGCTGTGCAGACGGGCGGCCTCCCAGCCTGCAGCCCCCGGGCGCACGTGAGCAGCGAGCGAGCACATGCAACTTAATGACGTCCCGACAACGCATGTGGCTCATGCGCAGGCGCCTGTCGCCCCAGCAGTGCGAGAGTGATGCACGCGCATGTGCCCGTGACGCGGTGGACACCGTGGGTGAGAAGTGGGGCAGGACAGGTGGGCAGTGAGTTCCGAGGGCGTGGGGTGTCCAGGGGAGCGGAGCCGGTTTTAGGGATTTTGGCCAGAGGAGCAGTGGGGCTCACCCCTTCGGGAGCCAGGGAGTGCAGGGGTGAGGCCCACTGGGCTTTGGGTTTGAGGGACGGATGAGCTGGGCCGTTAACTGGAATGGAGATAGGGAAAGGAATGGGTTTGGAGAACTAGCAGGAGCTTGGTTCTAAGCATGTTAATTTTACCTGGGATAGACAGGACTTTATTTTTTATTTTTATTTTTTTTGAGAGGGAGTCTCACTCTGTTGTCCAGGCTGGAGTGCAGTGGCGTGATCTCGGCTCACTGCAACCTCCGCCTCCCAGGCTCAAGCGAGTCTCCTGCCTCGGCCTCCAGAGTAGCTGGGATTACAGGCACCTGCCACCACGCCCGGCTGATTTTTGTATTTTTGGTAGACGCTGGGTTTCACCACGTTGGCCAGGCTGGTCTCGGACTCCTAAGCTCAGGTGATCCACCCACCTTGGCCTCCCAAAGTGCCAGGATTACAGGCGTGAGCCACCATGCCTGGCCTGGGTGGCCCATTTAAATCACCTTTGATGATACGGGGATATGTGACATTTTAAAGTAATATGTATACATGGAAGGAAATAAAAAAAGTATAAAAAAGGGAAGTTGCCTTTCATTCTCTAATTCCCAGTATCCCTGTCCAGAGCCCAATGCTCTCACCAGTGCCCTGTGGCTTCTTCTGGGGAGTTCCGTGTATATATAAGCATGCCTGAGCCTTTGCAAGGATGATAATGCATCTTGAACAAACACGGGATATTTTCACTGCTCTGTGGTAGCCAGAAGGTTTCTTTCTCTTTTTCTTTTTTTCTATTTTGAGATAAGGTCTTGTTCTGTAGTCCAGGCTGGAGTGCAGTGGTGCGATCATAGCTCAGTACAGCCTCCACCTCCTGGGCTCAAGCGATCCTCCAGCATCCCAAGCACCTGGGACTACAGGCACACCACCATGCCAGGCTAATTAAAAAAAAAAAATTGGCCGGACGCGGTGGCTCAACGCCTGTAATCCCAGCACTTTGGGAGGCCGAGGTGGGTGGATCACGAGGTCAGGAGATCGAGACCATCCTGGCTAACACGGTGAAACCCCATCT